ATTACTATTGATTCTTTCTTTATGTTTGTTATTAGCTGCTTTATGTATTTGGGTTCTCCTATGTTGGGTTCATATTTATAATTATTATATCTTCTTGTTGGATTTTTCCCTTTGTTTATATAGTGTCCTCCTTTGAAGCGGAAGAGTCTTTATGACGAAGAAGAAAAAGGAGGCTTGAATCGTCTATTTGCTCCAGGCTGAGGAAGGAGGGATGCCTGGATCTGGGGGGGGGGGGGGGGGGAGAATAGGTCTATTGCCCCTGATGTGCTGTTAGAGGCTTTTATAGTTTTCTGACCCTTCTGGGGGCAAGGGGCTGGTACAACAGGGCCTATCCCCTCCACACTGTCTCGAGTGGACCCTGAAGGGTCTGGCACTTGTGGATTCTGCCCCTTGCCTTCTCCAGAGAATGTGGGAAGTTCTTGAGGGCACCCCCAAAAGTTTAAGCTACTGCATAGATACGGGACAGGGAACAGTAAAAGTAGAGAAAGATTTTCTTCTTTTAATTCTCTTTCCATCTTTCTAATTGTATCTCAGAGAAAGCCTCCTTTTGGTATAACTGGTCAAGCTTCTCTAACATTTGCTAACCTCCTTTTTAACCCCTAGGGATTGGGCTTCAGGCTTTGGAGCCTTCGGGGCTATGGTATCTGACTAAATATTTAATCACATTGTTTTGTTTTCTTTGTATTCATTTTTGGAGGGTTGCCTTCTATTCTGTCAAGTGATGGCAGTTTACTATTAGTGATGCTAATAGCAAGTTCCTATTAATTAATTATTATTTTTTAAATAGGTTCCAAGCCCAGCGTGGAGCCCAGTGTGGGGCTTGAACTCATGACCCTGAGATCAAGATCCAAGCTGAAATCAAGAGTCAGATGCTTAACCAACTGAGCCACCCAGGTGCCTCAGAAAGTTCCATTTTATTTATTTTTTAAGATATTTATTTATTTATTTATTTATTTATTTATTTATTTATTTGACACAGAGAGTGATTAAAGAGAGAGAGAGAGCACACAAGCAGGGGGAGCTGCAAAGGGAGAGGGAGAAGCAGGCTTCCTGCTGAGCAGGGAGCCTGATGTGGGGCTCAGTCCCAGGACCCTGGGATCATGACCTGAGCTGAAGGCAGATGCTTAACTGACTGAGCCACCCAGATGCCCCAGAAAGTTCTGTTTTAATACATGCATTTGAGCAAAGATGTTCACCTTATGTATGTAGTCATATGGATGTGCGCATTTGATTAAAGAGATGTAAGAAAGAGTCACCAAAATGTTGATGGTGGTTATCTTACAGTGATTTTTGTTTTCCTTATTTTTGTGTGTGTTGTTTGCATTTTTTATAATCAGCATGTATCATTTACATAGTCAGAAAATAACTATTTTTGTTATGGATCAAGATATATATATATTATTATATACATAATAATACAAGGAATATGTGGATTTAGTTACATGGTTGACTAAGCCTGATGTAGGGCTCATTCTGGGAGACTGTGAGGAATGAGGAGCTGGCTGAACCCAGGCTAAGAGCAAGGACAGCTTTCCTGTCATGGAAAATTAGGTACCTGGCTCTCAGGGTGGTGGCTCTTTGTCCTTTCAGTATTGTTCAGAAGGTTCCATTTCAGAGTTTCAGTTACAACTTTTGAATCCAGTAAAGCATTGACCCTTTTTGGTGGGATGGGACCGAGTTTCTGTGGTGTGTTAGATCTTTGCCTAGCGTGCATTTACATGTCCCAGGTTGGGGTGGATGAAGGGACCCTGGCTACAGTCTAGGTGTCTCTGATTTGTGAGTGCTGTCCTGTGAATGGTCTGTTGTACCAGAGCTGACAGACGATAGCCTTCTCCCTGCTGGACTGTTCCCTGCCTGCAGAGTGCCCACAGTCTGGCTCGCTGCAGCTCATGCCAGTTCCTGGTGCTGGCCCTTCACCAGGGAGGAGGACACGATCGGATAGGAGTCCCGCAGGCAAACATTCCTGATGTGTAGCCCAGGGAATTTACTGCCCTCAGGAAAAGGCTCTTTGTCAGGTCACACCCCAAGTAACTGTTTAATCTTTAACGGAGCCAACGTTGTCCAGACACAAGGAACAGCCAATTAATCCCAGACCTTCCTTGGGAATTTACCTGGCTTTATGGTCTGATTCCTGTTCTGGGTATCTGATTATGGGGCCAATGGTGTCCACCAATCATGAGATAATACAGACCATGTAGCCACGAATCAGTAGGCACTGTAATCAGTAGGACAAGACAGTCACAGGCCCTGCCCTCCTGGAGGCAGCAGTCTGACGAAGCAGGCCAAAGAATGACAGCAGGTGTAAAGAGGGTTTGTAGTGCAGGAGGGGGGCGGTGATCACAGCACACAGCGTGATTTCTGAAAGGGGGGCAAGGAGGGGTGTCTGAGCCATAGATATTTCGATTAAGACACAAAGACTTTGCCAGTTGAGGAGATGTGGGGAAGAGGGATGCTGGAAGATGGAATGGTGTATATAGAAATCCAGAGGCCAGAGGAACCCTGCTGACTCCAGCTGAGTGGTGTCCTTGAGGTGGTTAAAGAAGAGAGAACAGGGTGGGAAGATGGTTAGGGTCCAGATCCTGCAGGACTGCCTTGGACAAGAAGTCCTCAACAAAGGATGATTTCCTCCCTCAGGGACATCTGGCAAGATGCCACAACTTGGTTGTCACGGAGTGTGTGTTGGGAGATAGGGGGGTGGAGGGTAGAGGTGTTACTGGAATCTAGTGGGAAAGAGTCCTAGAGGCTGCCAAACACCCTGCAAGGCACAAGACAGCCCCCAGCAACAAAAGATTATCCTGCCAAAATGTTAATAGTGCTGAGGTTGAGAAACCCTCATCTAGGTCCACTAGGACCATTTCAAAGACTTTTTTTTCCTGGGGCGCCTGGGTGGCTCAGTTGGTTAGGTGTCTGCCTTCAGCCTGGGTCATGATCCCAGGGTCTTGGGATCGAGCCACGCATCGGGCTCCTTGCTTGGTGGGGAGCCTGCTTCTCCCTCTCCCTCTGCCTGCCGCTCCCCCTGCTTGTGCTCTCTCTCTGTCAAACAAATGAATAAAATCTTAAAAGAAAAAAGAAAGACTTTTTTCCTTATTCTAAAGCCAAGGGGAAGTCACGATGGGGTTTTACACAGGAGAGGAACGTGATCAGATTTCTGTTCTACAGTGATAAGTCTAGCTGCTTTGAGGACATTTTAAGATGTAGCTGTTCCAGTTTGGGGCAACTCTCTTAGTGGTTCTGGACCATTCTCCAGCTTGGGAATTTCCAGCCTCTGCGATTCCTCCCCCCGCCCCGGGGGCTTACCTTTGACAACTTTGTGGCCGTCTAGGTATCTACCAGGGCAGGGACAGCAATTCAGATGTGCAGTAAGAGCTTAAGCAGGCTGTGGGGGGTGGGGTGGGAGTGTTTTGGGTACAAAGGGTACCACACTAGGGCCTACAAAGTGTTTAAGGCCAGCGTGGCAGGCAGAAATGGCCCTCCAAAGATGTCCATGTCCTAGTCCTCAAAACCTGTGAATATTGGCAATGGGGTTTTGTAGATGTGATTAAGCTAAGGAACTTGAAATGGGAAAATTCTCCTGGATTGTCTGAATGGGTCAGTGTCATCACAGGGCCCTTATAAAAGGGAGACAGGAGGTCAGATTCAGAGGAGATTTGGTGACACAAACAAAGGCCAGAAAGAGAGAGAGCAAGAAAGAGAGATTTGAAGATGTCACACTGCTGGATTTGAAGATGGGGGATGGGACCAATAGTACAAAATAATAAATTTATGTGCCACTACATTTCCGGCAACTTGCCGAAATAGCAACAGGAAACTAATACAGCCTGGAAAGTTTTTTGTGTTTCCATTTTTGTTTTTAGATAAACTCTACCCCCAATGTGGGGCTCAAACTCACAACCCCAAGATCAAGTCACGTGCTCTACCGGCTGAGCCAGCCAGGTGCCCTGGCCTGGAAAAATTTTAAATCTGAAATAACAAAGGAAAACTGCAAAATAGAAACTAATAAATGTCATTTATTTTAATATTTGTTTTATAATATTTAATATATACAAAAAGATATAAAGACTAACACACCACACAACCAGGTATTATCCACCCAACTCAAGAAATGAAGTAGTTCTAATACAACTGAAGCCTCTAGTAGGCCCATCCTGTATTTAATTTCCCTCTCTTCCTTCCAGAGGTAATAAATATCCTAAATTTGGCATTTAGTATTCTCATACATTTTGTATACCTGTCGACAATATGTAGTATTGCTTTGCATACTGTTTTATATGCATGACATCTTAATGTATGTTTTCTTATGCAACTTGCTATTCATTTCTAAAATGTTTTGAAAATCAAATGTCTGGCACCATCCTTACCTAGAAAATTTGTAATCCAAAAATGTACAATTCTATTTAAAGCAAATGGAACTCTAGGTTGGGAGTAGGGTCACCATTATTATAGCTAACATGTTTTTAGCATTTATTAATCCAGAATTTCATTTAATCCTCCTACAATAATACTCTGAAGTAGGTGCTGTTATCATCCTCAGTTACCAATGAAAAGATGGAGACACAAAGAAGCTTAGTAATTTGTCCAAGGTCATAGGGGAGCCCTACCCTGGAGGAGTCCCAAATTCTACAAAAATGATTTGATGGAAGAATGGGGAGGGTTACACAGGGGGAGAGTAAAGGCCTCTTTACTAGTTGGGTAGTTTAAACATATATTTACAAATTCTTTAATACTCCCTCCTTCAAAAAATGGAGCCTAATTACCTGACCTTGAGAGTGAGCTGTCTTGCTTATAAAATAGCGTGTGACAGGGGCACCTGGGTGGCTCAGTCAGTTAAGCGTCTGCCTTTGGTTCAGGTCATTATCCCAGGGTCCTGGGATCGAGCCCCGCATCGGGCTCCC